CTTTTCTTTCATAATTCTTAAGTAGCTGCCCTGAAGAACAGGCTGACAGACTGTTTATGGTTTTAAATGATTTTGAATTGATATAGGTACTAGTATTGTATTACAGTTAAAATGTGGGATGGCCAATGAGCCATTTAGTTTAGCAGTGGCGTGCGTGAGCCATGCTTTGGCACGAATGAGTCTGCTTGACCAGAGTGATACTACGCCCTCGCAAAAAACATGCGTGATATACAGTTGAGACGAACAGCGTCGTTTCGTGCATGAGTGAGGTTATAGAAGGCTTCTCCCCTTTCCCGATTCCCAAAATCTCTGAATCCATAATACCCAAAATCTCTGAAACCATAATTCCCAAAATCTCTGAAACCCAAAAGGCAGCGTGCGTTCGTGCAGCGGAATGTTGTTGAATTTAAAGATTTTAATTATGCAGATATTTAGTGTATGACGTCGTATAATTGTGTATGGTAAAAAAAAAATTGTGCACGCAACCATTGTGGAGAAATTCACCAAAAACTGATTCCGCTGGGCGAACGTTGTCCTGGCGGAACTTTTTTTAATCCATAGACTTTAGAAGAAAAGAGATGTATCCAAAAATTAGTGTGTATTTGTGTGTAATTGTGTATGTATGAATAAAACTAGTGCATGCATAAACTTCGGAGAAATTCAAGTTTCCGCTGCGCGAACGTTTGGCCATTAGCTAGTTTTCATATAAAGCGCTTACATAGAGAGCTGTAGATTTTTACATACGTTGTTTTGAATTTGTTTATATTTGTTTAAAAAACAGATTTAGAAAAAATCGTAGGGTTTAAAAGATAAAAATATAAACGTAAAATACGCTTATTAGGTCTTACTTCTTAAAGTATGCACTTTGGGGTCTAGATTTTCACGTTTATACAAACCTTGTAAGTGTCTGCAATATGTTGCCAAGTATCAATGATGTTCCGTTAGTAATTAAATAGTTATAGGACAAATTTACCATGAATAGATCACTGTTTACAAAGCAGTCAAATATCACGACTTTCTAAATGAATTGCATGGTAAAATGTATGCCAATAATTAGTGTATTCATTCAACTATTCACATGCAAAATTTCATGTCATTAAATTCAGTAATTAAAGAAAAACAATTATAATACTGACGAAGCATCGAAAACCTACATAACCCGACCAAGTTCGGATGGCTACAAAAAGCGGCTGTGCAATATATTAAGGTAACATCCCAAAATTTACAGTATAATACCGGTATTGAATTGGTACAGGTGATAACACACTTGTTATCTCGAAATAATTTATAGGTCATTTCTTTTTGGACACCTACTTTTTTAAATGTATTTGACTATGACAGAAAGTAGGTACTATTTACGTAGGTACTTTATTTAAGTATGCGCTTGAGACTTGAGATATAATCCAATTATATTTAAGACAAATAAAATTCATACAGCTAATTTCTATTGAAGATTTCACGGATCAGGATTCTAACTATAGACCCCTTAGGGAAATTAAATACATATTTACCACATGTAAGTAGTACATACTTACATGTGGTAAATGTAAGTATGTTACTGTTTAGGTAGGTAAATATTTATCATATTGTAGCTTATTACACTATTTAACCAATATTTTTTATTACACTATTTAACCAATAGACTAGGCATGCACGAGCGTGTGTACGATACTGTGTTTTATTTTTTCCTAACGCTTGTGTACGATACTGTACCATATTAATAAATGTTATATTGGAAAGTTAAGAACGTTTCTTAGATATATGGCACGGCCGCTTTTTTGTAGCCATCCGAACTTGGTCGGGTTATGTAGGTTTTCGATGCTTCGTCAGTATTATAATTGTTTTTCTTTAATTACTGAATTTAATGACATGAAATTTTGCATGTGAATAGTTGAATGAATACACTAATTATTGGCATACATTTTACCATGCAATTCATTTAGAAAGTCGTGATATTTGACTGCTTTGTAAACAGTGATCTATTCATGGTAAATTTGTCCTATAACTATTTAATTACTAACGGAACATCATTGATACTTGGCAACATGTTGCAGACACTTACAAGGTTTGTATAAACGTGAAAATCTAGACCCCAAAGTGCATACTTTAAGAACTAAGACCTAATAAGCGTATTTTACGTTTATATTTTTATCTTTTAAACCCTACGATTTTTTCTAAATCTGTTTTTTAAACAAATATAAACAAATTCAAAACAACGTATGTAAAAATCTACAGCTCTCTATGTAAGCGCTTTATATGAAAACTAGCTAATGGCCAAACGTTCGCGCAGCGGAAACTTGAATTTCTCCGAAGTTTATGCATGCACTAGTTTTATTCATACATACACAATTACACACAAATACCCACTAATTTTTGGATACATCTCTTTTCTTCTAAAGTCTATGGATTAAAAAAAAGTTCCGCCAGGACAACGTTCGCCCAGCGGAATCAGTTTTTGGTGAATTTCTCCACAATGGTTGCGTGCACAAATTTTTTTTTACCATACACAATTATACGACGTCATACACTAAATATCTGCATAATTAAAATCTTTAAATTCAACAACATTCCGCTGCACGAACGCACGCCAAAAGGCAGGCAACACACTGGTTGCGGACGGCGAGTAAGGTTAACTCGCCGCCTGACCAGAACCAGACCCGAGCGTACGGCGCGTAGCGTTCCGCACGCGCTTCAAAGAGCCAATAGACCACCACAGACGGGGCCCTATAAGGCTGATGTTCAGCCGGGGTTGCGGGGTAAGCGCAATGAGTCACCGCGGCCTCGGCGCAGAGTAGGAGAAGGAACGGGGGGTTTTTAGTCAGTAAGAGTCTGACACTCTCTCGCCGACGGAAGAAGTCATTTGATGATTTTCTCCTGACAAAAAAAAGGCAACACACTGGTAACTCCTCTGGTGTTGCGGGTGTCCATAGGCGGCGCCGATTGCTTACTATCAGGTATTCTGTCTGCTCGTCAGGCGATGGGAAAATAAACACAACAAACAATAATTTATCCAACCTTTGTTCCGATCATCACAAAGTTCATATTTGTAATCACGAAGTACCTAAACGAAGAGTAATAAAAAAAAATAACACAAATATTTCAAAACATGATTTATTTAAAGAGTAAATACAAAAATAACGACTCAACAATAAACTTCATAGAAATATTCAAGCCTTATATTAATTTGTGAATTTTACGTTATGAAAAAATAAATATTATTTGGTAAATTAAAAAAATACCTACAAGTTCATGCCTTTTATGAGTACAAGTTAGTATAGATAGTATAGATATGTGTACTTAGTGAACATTCCCACATATATGTACAATACGGTTAGTTTCCAACTAGTCAAATTCAATACCTTTTTCCAAATGTCAAAAAATATACTTTTCTATGAAATTTGTATGAAACGCTGAGTTATGACGTCATATTATTTTAGCGTCAAATAGCTTACTTATTTCTTAAAAATAGGTAATAAATATCTAAAAATTATTGTATCGTTCGATCGATAAATAAAAGTGTAGTTATTTTTCAATAGTTTATTGTAATGAAACTTCGAATTAATTTATTTTTAACCTAGGAAACTACCCAATTATAAAGTATTGGTGAGATTGTAAAAAAACCTTTATTCAAAAAAAAGAGCAACGATGGCGTTTCTGCTCGGTCTTTTCAAATCGAATCTCTAGTTTGAAACGAGGATTTAGCAAAAAATAAAATCGTAAAAACATTTGTTTTTGACCTTTATTTGGAAGTAACCCAATTACCATTATTGTGGTTTTATATACTTTTACATACCTAAGAGATTCTTTCCCAAGTAATAGCCATTATTTAATTAAAATTTAAAGCATTTTTTTTCATAAACAAATAATATATATTTTTTTAAACTCATCATAATTTGTTAAGGAGCCTCTGTTACATACAAATATTCAAGTAAAAAAAACATGAAAATGAAAAGTACAGAACCGATACCTATAAAAAAGGTACTCATATGTTACTTATTAGATTTTGAAACCTAATCATCAACATATTCCGAAATAGAGTCTAGAGAGACAAAGACAGCCATTTTTTCAAAAAAATACTAATAGGTAGCTATTTGTTTCGGAGTCCGACGCAATTTCGAATATCCCATGCTTTGCACATTCACTTAATCTACATATTTTGGGGACTTTTGAATGACAAGTAATCGTTTTTTTGTTTTTCTTGTTAAATAAAGCTTTGCCCTTCACTAGGGTTTTCTCCTTTGTCGTGGGTGCGTTTACAAACATACAATGATACATCCACATCACACCCAGATCAGCCTATATGTATATAGGGTTGATGTTCAGCCATAATGTTGAGGGGCAAGCGCAATAAGGCACCGCGACCTCGACCTAGATCAGGAGAAGGAACGGGGGGATTTAGTCAGTTATCGTCAGACACTGGCAAGTGTGGGAGAGCCATACTTCGGCACGAATGGGTAGGCTCGACCGGAGTGATACCACGGCCTCACAGAAAACCGACGTGAAATAACCACAGCGTTGTGTTTTGCCGTGTGAGTGAGGTTACCGGAGGCCCAATCCTTCCCCTCCCCCAATCCCTCCTCGATCCCTAAATCTCCAAACCCCTAATCCCTAAAAGGTCGGCAACGCACTCGTAACTCCTCCGTTGCGAGTGTCCATGGGCGGCGCTGATTGCTTACGATCAGGTAATCTGTCTGCTCGTTTGCCGATCTATTACATAAAAAAAAGTACCAATGTGACTTTCCGAGTTATATGTACTTTCTATGATTATTTAGACACCACTGACATACGGTGAAGGAAAACATCGTGAGGAAACCTGGACTTATAATTTCTAATTATAAATTTGAAATCTCCAATCCGCCTTGAGCAAGCGTGGTGATTAATGCTCAAATCTTCTCCGTGTGAGAAGAGGCCTTTGCCCAGCAGTGGGTACCTACTTATAGGATGATGATGAAGAAGAATCTGACACGCCCTCCCGTCCCATCCTGGGCTGGAGAAGTCATATAAAAAAGAGCTACTTTAACTTAAATTACCTGTCGTCATCACACTGAGTAAAGCTATTCATATTAATATACCGTCTTGTCGTTCTCATTCGAGCGGCCGCCACGCTATCAAACACCCATTTTGAATTGACTTCACCAACACCACAGCCAATAACCACATCATATTTACTATTAACTACTCTATCACGTATATTGGCACTTTGAGACCGCGTATTGGCATTCTGAGACTCGATATTGGCATTATGAGACCGAGTAATGGGATTTTGAGACTGTAAATTGAAAACACTACCTTGTGTAGGCAAATTAAGTGCAGACTCTTTTCTTTGAATATCACAGTTATTTTCTGTAGGACTATTATCGACTGCAGCGCCACACAGCGTGAGAAGTTTTAAAGCAGCTTCCCTTTGTTCAGCATCTGGTCTGAGATGTACTTTCATCCCGTAGAATATGTCGTATGCGTATTCTGAGCGTAGTTTGCCGAGCGCTGTGCGTTCTACTCGAGCTTTCTGTAAAGATAAAAGATAGAGTTATGATAGATAGACCACCTTTAGGACCTAATAGACCACTACAGAGGGGCCCAACAGGACTGATGTTAAGCCAGGGTCGCGGGACAAGAGCAGTAAGGTACCGCAGCCTTGGCCTAGAGCAGGAAAAGGAACTGAGATTTTTTAGATTATTTAATATTTTAGATTTAAGTCAGTAAGAGTCTGATAATACCTCTCGTCGAATGACTTCTCAGTCATATAATGATTTAACTCTTCAAAAAAAAAAAAAAACATTTGGGAGTGGGCCAATTTATCCGTTTGAATTGAATTTGAAGAATGGTAACAACCTTTTTAAGAGCGGAGAAAAACAGGGTGGGCTAACGTTAATTCTTTTCCTAAAATTAAAAAACCTCAAAAGCACTGATAATCTTCGAATATGGAGGAAGACTAATAAGTTAGTCTAGTAATTAGTATAAAACAAACACAAACTTGACTAATCTTCTTCAAATGCAGTACTTCATAATCGTTATGATGCAGCCAGGTCCCCGCGGCGGCGGAGTCGACAGCCCAGCGCGCGTGCAGGACTCTGCAGCCGCGCGCCGCGCCCTGCAACGCGTTGCATGTTCGCGCTCGCTTGTCCGTTACATCCGTCCAACAACTCGTCTTGCTTAGGTCACAGAGCTCTGTCCAAAATAACAGCATTTATTAGTACACTAGCGACCCGCCTCGGCTGTTGCTATATATATTGCGATCCATCAGGTAATAAGTTTGCTTGTTTGCCGTATAAAAAAAGTGCAAGATTAACCCAATTAATTTTATTGTGCCATCACAAGACGGCTTATATCTATACTAATATTGTAAAAATGGTAAAATTTGTAAGTTTGTATGTAGGGGATAATCTTAAAAACAGCTGGTCGGATTGTCCATATTCTTTTAAAAATTTTCTTTAAGTGTTACCACACGCTAGAATTTTACTATGCAGGATTTCTCCTGTGTTGTGGGTGCAGTTACAAACATATAATTTCGCAAAGACATGACACCCAGACCAGACAGAGTGTTGTTCCGTGCGGGAATCGAACCCGCGACAAGTCGCATGGCAGCCGGTTGCCCAACAACCGCACCAACCGTGCAGACCTAATTGATAGTGTGAATTGATAGCTACAATGTTCCCGAATGCCACAGGCTATTAAACATCACGCTACGATCTGTAGGAGCCGAGCAGCGGGTCCGCACGCACCGCACGGGAGTAGCTAGTAACAGCTAAAATAAGAACTAACCTGTAACACCAGTTATGTTCGCAGGATGGTTGCTGCAACGCGCCACGCCGCACGACCCGAGCAACACGTGGCTCGTTCGCTTGTTGACGTGGCTCTGTATGATGCCGTTTAGATGTTGTATCGCTTTCGTTACAGCGTGACGTTCAGGCCGTGTCATGCCTGTTAGTACCTGGAATTTAGGATTCATTCATTATATTTTTGGAACGAAGTTTTCTTCCTCTCTTTCCCTCCCTCACCCCCTCCCCTCTATCTCTCCAACGCTCAGACCCATAGCAAGCGCAATAATGAAAAGAAGAAAAGAAGAAGAAAGAAAAACATTTATTTTCGCGCAAGCGCACACACATAAAACAAAAATACAAAAAAAAAAGAAAATAAAATAATACTAGAAATCTAAACTAAATGACACATATAAAAATTAAATGACTTAAAAAAATTATAACAAAAGAACAAAAAAAAAAAAACAAAAACATTTATCTATGGTCCACAGAGTATAACATTATGCGTAAAGTCGCGTGTATTTTTTATAATCTGTGGACCACAAGGACAAGAAAGTAGCATTTGTGTTTGTAACAATCGCACAAACAATGTAATAACAAGAAACATATATTAATTTAATTTGATAATTTCCTCCTTACTAACGTTATAACAATATAATGTGGTACGAGCGCAAAAAAAGGACATGCTCAGCATTTGCTGAGACCCCACCCACAAGGGATTGGTGCCACAGCGCTGATTTTCAGCATATCCTTGGGTGACGTGATGGCGTTCCACCATAATTCAGAACACTTTGTAGCGAAAAGCAGCGTGAGTACAGGCTATTTAATGTGAATTGAAATTTTATGAAAATGCTAGGGTGAAGAAACAAATCAGTTTTTTGTCGGTAAGTCTCAAACGTAGACTCAGATGTGGTTGAAGTCATCGGTGTAGATTGGTTTCAAATACAACGAAAATAATTTCGACTGCACAGTTAGCGCGGTGGCTGGGCAACTGGCTGCCGTGCGACGTGTCGCGGGTTCGATTCCCGCACGGACAACACTTTGTATGATCCATAAATTGTTGTTTCGGGTCTGGCTGTCATGTGTATGTTTGTAAACATAACCACGTCACAAGAGAAAATCATAGTATGGGGCAACGTTAAAAAAAAGAAAAAAAAACATAGCTAATTCTAAAGAAGACTAAATTTTCTCTGCTTACAAAACTTTTTCTAGACTTCCACGAATAATTGTAGACCAGAATTAGCCAAATCGGTAAAGGCATTTTTGAGTTATATTATTACAACGAAAAGGAATTGGGCCTCCGGTAACCTCTCTCACACGGCGAAACACAACGCTGTGGTTTTTTCACGCCGGTTTTATGAGGCCGTGGTATCACTCCGGTCAAGCTGACCCATTCGTGCCGAAGCAAGGCTCTCCCACACTTAGAAAATAATATCAATTTATAACAAATACGTTTATTTCTACATAGTCAAAACCAAAGTTACTTGCTTTGTCCCTATGTCACTATGTATGCTTCAATCTTTAAAATTACTTACAATTTTAGGTTGCAAATGGTTCTGTGTTGCAGTAACAGCTCGGTTATGTTGCGTGTTGCATGCTGCGAGTAGTTTCTTCGCCATGCGCTCGGCTCTCGCGAGGTCGCGGCGTTCTCGTTGCGTTAGCTTGCTTTGGTTTAATTTTGTTTTTGTTGCTGCTTCTGTAACATATTTATAGTAGACTAGCTGACAGACTTCGTATTGTCATAAAAAAAATTGTAATGTGACAGTGTTTTGTTCCTAATTATTTTATATTCTTTGCAAAAAAGAAACTGCAAATTTAGTTTTTGACGTTAGGAACACACCTACATTTCTTAGACTGCAGTGAGTGCTTGTTATTTAATATGAACTTTATACAATAGCAATAAAGCTCAAATTTTACGTTTTAGTTAGAAAAAGTTTGTATGTAAAAAAGAAAAGGGCTGTTTTTAGCGTTTTCCCGGCAATTGTTCGATTTTTTTCTCGCCGTTAGAACGCCGCTTGGACTTTAACGAACATCATAAAAAAAATATTTGGCCAAATTGGTCCAGGCGCTGTTGAGTTATGCGCTTACCAACAAATTTTGCGATCTATTTTTATATATAAGAAGAAGATGTATATAAGAAGATTATTTTTCTTGTAATAGAACAGCGGATGCGCGAACAGATAGCATGATGGTAAGCAGTAAATACCGCTTATAAGCATCCACATGCAACACTACAGGAGTTGGAAGGCGTTACCGGGATTTTTGGGACAAAGGTTTTGGAAATTTAGGGATTGGGAAGGGGAAGAATGGTAACCTCACTCACACGGGAAGACACAATGCTGAGGTTGTTTCACAACTTTGTTCTGTGAGGCCATGTTATCATTTTGGTGGAGCCGAAGCAGATTTCTCACACACAATTAGAATGATGTTTGAAGCCCAACATTCGTGAGATTGAAGTATGTAAGGATAGTGGTAGCGTTCGGTGATATATTTTTATAGGATAGGGCGGAAACCGATCATTTTTATTAAAAGACTAGCGGCCCGCCCCGCCGCTTCGCACGGGTCCAACTATCTCGCTATCAAAGGGTCACCTTTTCCTAATCTTCCCCTCTACTTTTCTAATATTTTCTTTGATAAAAACCATCTCCTGACAATAACAAACACAACAAAAAAAGAATTAGCAAAATTGGTCCAGGCTTTGTTGAGTTATGCGCTTACCAACACATTTTGCGATCCATTTTTATATATAAGATGGTAAGGAATCAGCACGGCATGAGTGCGTTGCAGCTTCTTTGGGGGTTAGTTAATTTATTTGAGGAACGGAGGGGGTAGGAGGGGGGTCCTCTGGTAGCCTCACTCACTAGGTGAAATGTCTTTGGTCGAACACAAGAATCTTACGAAGAATCATATATGCTTTTACATATTATCTTCAGAAAAAGTTATGATCTATTTTTGGGTATTACCTAACTATCGTGAGACATTAGAAAATTATTAAAACTACTACGAACGGTTTTGCCCGCGACTCCGTTCGCGTGAAATGGTGATTTCTTGTAGATTTTTGATATAAAAACTATCCTATGTCCTTTCTCGTGTTCCAAACTATGTCTGTACCAAACTTCACAGAAATCGGTTCAGTAGTGTAACCGTGAAGAAAAGACAGACAGAGATACTTTCGCATTTATAATATAAGTTTGGATAACAAATTAGGACAATAAAAAAATTCGACTAGTTTCAAGTCACAACGGGACTCTTAATTATGAGCAGCGTGCCCGTCGACGACTCGAAGTAAATAACTATAGAATATTATATTAATCATTTACCTGATTCATCATCAGTACTCCCAATTTCCTCAGCTTCTTTATGCGTGAACAGCTTCCGTCTGGACTTGGGGGGGTCGCGGGTAGGGGGCGACACTGCAGCACGACGGGGGGCCGTGTTTACACGGGATTCTATGTCTGAGGAAAGGGAATTGAAATATATATATTTTGTTATGGGATAGTGAGGTCAACGAAAATTCGGGTTACCTGGATGCTAAGCAATCGGCGCTGCGAATAGACGCCCGTAATACCAGAGCAGTTGCTAGTACGTGCGTTAAAAATGGTGACAATTTTGTTACGATTTTCGAGTTATATGAACTTCCTATGACTATTTAGACACCACTGACACACGATGAAGGAAAACATCCTGAGGAAATCTGGACTTATAATTTCTAATAATTATAAGTTTGAAATCGCCATCCGTCTTCAGCAAGCGTGTGGATTAATGCTCAAAAAACTTTCTCCGTCGTATGAGAAGCCTTGGCTCAGTAGTGGGCACTTGTAGGCTGATGATTTGATGAAAGTGTATGTGATTATTCATAAAAGTATAAATATATTACTACTAGGTTTTGCCCGCGACTCCGTACGCGTGGGATAGTGACTTCCAGCAGATTTTTGGTATAAAAATTATCCTATATCTCTCGAGTTCCAAACTATGTTTGTACCAAATTTCACAGAAATCGGTTCAGTAGTTTAGGCGTGAGGAAAAGACAGACAGGGTTACTTTTGCATTTATAATATAAGTTTGGAAGTTTGGATATAACTTTATTTGGATTATTCTAGCAAATCCTTAAGAAATTAGTATGCTATTTTATGCAAAAAAAACACGACATCACGACACACAACTCATGAAGAAAAATGACGATTTTGAAAAGTAGTAAATTTTACTAGCTATTAAATGCGTTGTCAATTCACGGATGATATCTAGTACCTAAGTAAATACGTTCTTATATATAAGGTAATAACATACCAATAGTTTCCCTGGAGCTGTCCATGGTGGTGTCAGTGCCGGACGATATCCTGAGACGCGGGCGGCCATCTTTATCTTCCTCTTTACTGTCGTTCAGTAACGCAGCCAGCGTCACATTCTCCATCTCCGCTTTTTTCTGTAAAAAGGAATAATAATAATTACCGTTTTCTTAATGTCGTGGTGGCCCTGGTCAAGGAGCCCGCTTCCCATGCATGAGGGTGTGGGTTCGAAACCTGGCAAGTACCAATGTGACTTTTTCCGAGTTATATTTACTTTCTATAATTATTTAGACACCACTGACATACGGTGAAGGTAAACATCGCGAGGAAACCTGGACTTATAATTTTTAATTATAAGTTTAAAATCGCCAACCCGCATTGAGCAAGCGTGGTGATTAATGCTCTAACCTTCTCAGTATGAGAGCTGTGGACACTTATAGGCTGATGATGATGAAGCATTGTGATTTCTTTGCTCAGATGATGTCTGTCTGGACAATAGATTTACCTCCTTTCATAACATAACTTTCTTCTCTTAAGACCAGTTTAAGAGTATGTCCGAAAAGTTCGAAAAATGAATAACCAAGAACCAAGTGGCCTTATCCTCTCAACTTAACTATTATTCGAAACTTCGAAATAGAATAAGAGTCTGTCAGTCTAATTGTCCAGTAGATGGATCGTACTAAACGTAGATGTGTTCAAATGGAGAAGAATGAAGAAGAAACACAATAGAAAAAAATTCCAAGCTTTCTTATTAAAAAAAACATTGCTCAACACTAGGATTTTCTCCTGTGTCGTGTCGTTTTACAGACACATGACACCCAGATCCGGAACAACAATTTGTGGATCACACAAAGAGTTGTTCCGTGCGGGACCCGAAACCGCGACACGTTGCACGGCAGCCACACCAGCCGCACCAACCGTGCAGTCAATACATAACCTAAAAACCTTCAGTTCAGCAGTGAATATTTTGAAATTTGTGCTAACTATGTATCCCTTTTGAAGCATATAAAGGGATAAGTAAGTTGTAGCACTTACCAGTAGTTGTCTTAAAGTCCTCGGCGACGGCAGATCAGACTGCCTTGATGCAGCAGGGAATGTTCGCTCATTGAGCTTCTTGTTGGAGGCAGCGCAGGCTTCCACCCACAGCGGAGAGACCAGCTTGCAGGCTAGGGCGCGAGCTTTAGCGCGGGTGGCGCGACAACCACCTGCAAATATTCATGATATCATGAATTTTATTCATGAAAATGTAGGTAGTGTACAGACAACTGTACATGTTTAAATTTGTTTTTTATACATAATTAATGTCGCGGCGCGAGTCAACATTTTTGTACGACTATTTAAATTGTATCATTACCATTTTATGTCACTGCACTTTATCATTTTGTATCAATTGAGTCTTGTTACAGAAGTTTGTGTTATTTTATCATTTCTACACGACCTTCTTGTCTATATCAACGAGAAGCAGTCAACCTACCATCTATCATCAAACCCCTACAGGTAGGCAGTGGTGCTTAACAATGCAATTAATCGCGTGATGATACAAATTGGTTATATAGAAGTACAATATTTTAGTCTAGGGTAACATTCGTGATCTTATATTTAATAGAAAAAGGACGAAATATTCAACTATTACATTTATTATTACTATATTTACTTAAATGACTATACTAATGGAAATCATGGAAACATGTCACGTATTTTTTAGATTAGTGTTTTAGTGTTTGTATAGATATGTTAGCATAGTTAAATAAGGCGACTACAGAATAAACTTGCATGGTTTTCCTACATTATTTTGACACTTGTATGGGCTCGTAAAGTAACTGACCTCTGAGTGTGTTTCGACAAGTAGTCAGATATATAGAATATACTACCTTCATCTAGATTTATTTATACTATAATAAAAAAATACTGTTCCTATTTACAAAAATAATTTCATTTTTATTATAGCTTTCGTGAGACATTCTAAATTAATTGATATGTTTTCGGCTTACTCACTTAATAATCAGTGTAGCGTACGTACGTAGCAGCGCGACCGTCGCTGCGTCGCGTGTCGCGGAATGCTGCTCATGAATATGGGCCTCTAGGATGGCTTGAAACTAGTTGAGACTCAACTAGTTGACAAGTTGAGTATCTCGTCAAATTATTACGTGTGTAAGCCGAAAACATAATCTATACTAATATTATAAAGAGGTAAAATTTGTAATTTGTAAGTTTGTATGTAGGGGGTAATCTTTGGAAATGCTAGTGGGGTTGCCAAAATTCTTTCACTGATAGCTACAATGTTCCTGAGTGTTTTATGCTATAAAACATCACGCTACGATTAAATGGAGCCGCACGAGAATAGCTAGTTATTAATAATTAGTTGTTTCTTTGTTACAAATGCAAAAAAGTTGTACTCACTGTCAGTCCACACTAGATGTGTAACAAGAGGGCTCCATTCCACCACAACGGTAGCACCCAGGGCTGCGAGTGCACACCGCAGCGGTAGGGCTTTGTTCTCAGCCCCTACATCCACCATAGCCACCACACCTTTTAGAGCATCACATGATGCTTGTGTTGCTTTTTGATTGTCCTGTAATTGTTATAGAAAAAAAGACTGCTTGATAAAACAAATAAATGATTCACAGCAAGTATTATTTTCTCAATCTTTAATAATTTAAAAACAAATTCTTTTCAGCAATCATTTTGGTCTGTGGGTCGTCTTAGGGACCATATCAACAAAATTCTAAATATTTCTTAAGTACCCCTTCTAGAGGTAAGCATAATACAACAAAATAGCATTATTTTGGTATAACATACCTTTTTCTGACTAGATTTAATAGGTTGTTTCTTCCTGGTTGAAACACTAGGTGTGTGACGAGTATTACTTGGTTTCTTCTGTAAAACATCAGTCTGTCTTGATGTGGTAGCAGTGTCTACTTCTTTTAATGCAGACCATTCTTCTCTGAGCCTGATCCTTTCGGCCACTGCCGAGCGACGCTGTAGTGAAACATTCATATATTTTATAGCTAGTTGACGTTAGTTTAATTAATTTCTTTAGTTGTTTAAGGCAGAACATAGTTGTTGAGTCCAGTTACAGATCCCTAATATGCACATTATACATTTTTCCAGCAAAAATTCATCATTTTTAACATCAATATGGTACTTTTTTATTGATTTACAATGACGTGAAATGTGACTTACATTTCGCGCCTTAAGCATAAAAACTTTTTGGAGTTACAGTATTACTTACCAGGCCAGCTGCAGTCCTATTATTTTCTTTGTTCATTTCTCAATTCTTTTGATAAATATCAAACATATATCAAATAATAATAAACGCGAAAATAAACAAACAGTCAATAAACACTTTTCATAGCTGAATTGAAGAAAAATCAATTGTTGTCACATATAAAATGTCTTGATTTATGTATTTTTATATGTTGGATGTGCATAAAAATATGTAATAGTTACAAAAATAAGTTTTTTACATATAAAACAGTAGTAAAAGTCAAGTCGCAACAAGTTTATTTCTTAAATGTAAAGTGTCAAATTCAAATTTAAAGTGTCAACTGTAGCTGTCATGAACGTCAAAAATCTAAAAACGTTTTGTTCCATATCTGAGCACGATACTAAGTAAGCATCTATTTAGTATCAAAAAATATGTGTTTTAAAATTATAAGACTATATGCAAAGAGACAAATATAATTGCGAAGAAAAACTACAGACTTAAGTTCAAATATTTTATTAAAAATTAAAATCATACCCAACTTAATTTTGAATATAATTTAATATACAATATGTATGTTACATTATGTTGTCTGTTCTGTCTAAATAAAATTGTATACTTTTATTATTAAGACGTTGTTTGTACTTCAAAAAGACTTTTTAAAGTAAATCCTTCCCTTAGCGGTTCTATTGCTAGTCCTAAATATGGACTATAAACCGGTGGGCTTTCAGATTCCTCTTTATTTTGGGCAAGTTGTGAGGCTAAGTACAAATTAGGTCCCATTTCACCACGAGGCTCTCCGATTTCTTCCAACTCTTCTATATCATCGTCTGAATGCCTTGTATTCTGTGAAAGGATAACGATCATTAAGTATATTGAAAAAGAGCATAAAATAGCGTAACTGCAGCAAAACTTTGAACATATATTTTATAATATGTATATTTTAATATATGCCTAATATGTATTATTTATTGTATTTATTACCCTATTTATGCGAATCTATTTATTTGTGTGTTAGAACCGTGTTTCTTCCATTTTCTTTCTCCTCTCATTTGTTCTAGGAATATGTGTCCTAGCTTCGCACCGACCGCAAAAATTCTCTGCACAGCCCTATGGTTGACTGTTAGAGAATGCCTTAAGGCATTAAGTCCACCTTTCAGACTGTTTTGTGTGAAGAAGAAATAATAAATAAATAAATATATAACCTCATTGTTCCAATTGAGTTCAATGCCAAAAATAGGTTTCTCTGTGTATGCTTGATGTAGAGCTTGAAGTTCTGTGAGAAGAGGACGTAGTCTTTCACGAGGATCTGCTCTAAACCCCAGTACATAACCTCCTGATGTTTTACGAACTTGAAAAACAAGTGCTTCACCAAACTTTGAATCTTTAATGTTTATCTGAAAATGTGAATCAATTTTTAATATCTAATAATTGTTAATGCAGAATTAATTTTCGTAAAAACAAATTCAACAAATTTTCTGTGGTTGTTTTACATTATCATTAAAGTACGTAGCTAAAGGCCTCCAAAAGCCTTCTAAATTAACTTAAAGGGTAAATCATTGGGTGAAGCGATGGAGTGTCAGTCAAATTTTTTTGTGTGGTGAAAATCCAGACGTGGTTTCTCCCGCCCAGGGTGAGGCGGGAAGGATTGTCAGACTCTTACTGACTTATAACCCCACCATTCCTTCCCCTGCTCTGGGCCCAGGCCGCGGTGACTCATTGCGCTTATCCGAAACGACTTCTCCCATCTTAAGTTGTAACTATATTTTAAAAGTATGACTGTACAAGATATACTTACGGTTTCAATTGTTATATATGGCATAGATATATTGAATGCATCATTGATATCTGCAAACCACACCACCCTGACGTTAGTCACTATCAGGGTACCCAGGTTCCCAGAATCACTCGATAGGTTCCAAATACTATGCTCCAGTAGAGCTATCTGAAAAGTTAGAAAATGTTCAGTAAATACTGTCTTTCCAATGCGTGGAATTCATCGTATATAGTAATGATGTAATATGTTTATAAGATTCTTTTTTTTTAAATATTGCCCTCATATACATTTTTTCCTACGCGTGGATGCGTTTACAAACATACAAATTCACATACACAAACCACCCAGACCCGAAAGAACAATTTGTGATTCACACAAGGACGTGTTCCGTGCGGAAATCGAACCCACGGCACGCTGTATAGCAGCCAGTTGCCAAGCCACTACGCCAACCGTGCAGTGCAAGCAACTATTTGAATAGTTTAACCTATTCAAATATGAGTCATAGATAAGATTTTCGACCAAAATGCTAGTGGATATCTTACTTTTTCTAGCGGTAACATCCTTAACTGTTTGTTGTGTATTATAGCAGATCTTAGCTTGAGGTCCCGATACATTCTGGAGGCTGTATACGCCCTGAAAAATAATTACAAAAGTAAATGTAGTTGTATTGTGTTAGAGGTCCATATAAAAGGCGAGGGAGTGTCATGTGTTGATTTCTGATAGGAAGATAATGAGTATTGCGAAAGGATACCATTATCATGACTAATAGGACATTTTCAAGAGAGAAAGAGATAGAGCTTTGCTCCGAAGTGGCTCGACAGGAGATGCTGCGAGCGGCTTTAAAAGAAACCTATTATAATTGGTTAGACTAACAGAATGTCGGTCTTTATATCAGCTTGGAGTTGTCATGCTCACTGAAAGGTTACGCTGGCGGTGACACGGGCGCTGGATCGCTTAATTCCCTATAATATGGTTGAGTTGGGCGATGCCGGTGTACGTGTCATGTTCGTGATCGGGCGCCGTTAGTTGTGACTGGTCAGCTCCGTACTGTCTATTGTCCTTAAGGTTATTTTTTTTATATTTTTCTGAATAAATATTAGTGTTACACTGTTCTCACATAATTGAACCAACTGTGAGTATAAGGAATCTGTATGTGAAAATGATTTAAAAAGAGTAACCATGGAGTTTCTTGCTCGTTCTTCTCCATCGGAATCTACACTTTGGAACGAGCAATTAGCTTCACTTAGAGGACTGACTGACAGACTGACACTATATCTTCAAAAGTTAGTTTGACGTTCAAAAGTGCCTGTAAGGGTCTAATTAGAATAAATGATTTTTGACTTTTGGTATTAGAGATCCGAAATCCATCTTCCAGAGGCCCAAAAAGCCCTTATAATTTCTCAAGTGGTTTATGGGCATCGTTAGTTGCTAGTTTTAGGTGATCCATTTGACTGGAAGTAGCAAAAAAGGGCAGACAGAAAAAGACTTCTTAAAAACTTACTTATGTACTCCAGCCACTGAAGTGTAATGTCGGACACAGTTTGGAGACAAATTAGTGAAGATGAATTCATATTTATTAGCTCTGTACGCTGCCAGCACGTTGAGAGCCTGGGTTGTACCACGGAGACCTGAGTTCACGACTTTCGTGTTCGTTGTTAGGATGCAGTTCAGGCCAATAGCTGGAATGATAAAAAATAAATAAAGTGGTCATTACATCCAAATCCCAATTCCCTCCAAATCCCTAATCGCCAAAAGGTCGACAACGCACTCGTAACTCCTCCGTCGTTGCGGGTATCCGTGGGCGACGCTGATTGCTTACCATCAGGTAATCTGTTTGTTCGTGCCGACCTATCACATAATAAAAAAAAACAGGTATGAATTTTGTTCATCTAATGTGAGGAGATCCAAAACCGACGTCCTTCTTCCCCTGTCCTATGCAATCCCTAAATATCCAAAACCCTCATCCTCATAGGCCTGCTACGTATTGGAAACTCCTCTGGTGTGTGCTCGCGTCGTCTATTGCTTCTTATCAGGTAATAAATATGTTATTTTGCCGTATCACATGAAAAAAACATCGTGGACATCCACTATAGAAATAGCTTTACTAAGAGAACTGGCCAATATATTGCCATATTTTATCTTAAACATTTTTTTAAGTTCAAAATGCCTATAATGGTCAAATTGAAATTTAGTACAGCAGACAAGTAAAATTTATTTGGTATTAAAATAAAAAAAAATATTTTCAGGTCTTGTCGAAGTTATACAATAAGTTTTACTCAAATAAGTAGGTAAGGTACCAACATAAATTGATCCTAGGTGAAGCCAGCGAATGCCATATAATCCTCAAGTTGGTTACGACCATGCGTCCCTTGGTACCGCTGTTGCCTTTTGTATCTTCAATGGGTTCGATCCTATCAAATATCTTCTCCCCAGGACGAAGTTTTAGGTATCTGGAAATATTAAATAAATAAAGTTTATAAAAAGATAGGTTTTTTATAAGTCGTTGACAGGTTTGACACAAAATTGGATACTGGGCACTATTAAAGACGATCCTTCAGATCTCATAAAGTACCATATCGTACATGTAGGTGGGCTAAGTGCCATACTTGACGAGCAAAATCATGTTGTCCGTGTTTTCGAAGGTACCAATCTGTAGCTGGAAGGCATGGAGTTAATTCTCATACTTATTAAAAATAATCATCATCATCAGCCCGTTTCCACCTATTACTGGACATAAGTCTCTTCAATGCACGCCACTGAGTTCTATCTTCAGTTCTACTTGTCCTACCAAGTCAGCTACCTTGCACAACGTTTGTTTAGACGCTGTTTTTACAGCGTCTACCCCATGACTAGGTTTTTCGACAGATAGGATCAGCCCATTGCCACTCCAGTTTGTTAATCCTTTGGGCTATGTCGACAACTTTCTTCGTCGGATCGTCTCTTTTGGAATTTAATCCTTTAGGGCCGAGCATAGCCCTCTACATAGGTCCCTGCGCAACTTGGAATTGGTGGATCAGTCATATTGTCAGTGTACACGTCTAGGCTCCACATCTAATTACTAGTAGGACGCAATCGTGAAAGAATTTTGCTTTTAGGCTTTGCAATATACTGGATGAAAATATTCGACGAAATTTCTTATTTATTTTATTTTATTATTTTGTTCTTACAGAAGGCTTACAGACTTATAGTACTTAAATATTATAACTCAAACTAGATTATTAAATTGCTATTGACAAGCCCTCTCATATAATTATTACAACTATCGATATTAAGATAAGGATTCTTATACGATGACCTGGCAAGCTGTATCGTTCTGTAAGCCCCCTCTTAAAGTTGTTTCTTCTAAACTGTATGGTTATTTTTAAATATAGTACCTACTTATACTTATAGTACTTGACCACCGCATGAGAAATTAGTTTTATATTTCGAATAGAAGAAAAAGAAACACATTTCTCATTTCAAAACAGAGCTCAAGGAAACTCAGTGGCGAGGGAATAAAAAACAGTATTCCCTTAAATCTGAATAAAAATGTGGGCCTTATAAATAATGGTATTATGAAGAAAAGTCCGTCTCCCATAAACTTTAAAAACATGTTAATTTAATTTTCATATCTTGTTGAGCGGTGCCTTACGCAGTTAATAGCGGGGACACTTGATACTGGCGCGTTTTAGCGACGATATCATAAGCCATTTACATAAAGAGGAAAAACGGATATAATGCCTGCTTTTCCACTTAGATATACCTAGAGATAAGGACCATACTGTCTTGGAAAAGTATGTGGGCCAGACCAGACTTTTATTTATTTATTTATTATAAGTAGGCTTCTCAACAATGATTACACTATACTATATAATTTATACATTTCAAATTTAATTCTAAGTGTCCCATTATTTATAGAAAAGCACAGCATGCACTATAGTATTACGCGCGGTTATTAAATAATTAGTCGATTTTGATATAATGCAACAAAAAATTTGACAAAAAATTTAATCTAAATTACATGACACAATCTAAAACAAACAAACTTTTACATTATTCCGTTCTCTGTCCCTTTCTTTCTAACAAGTGATGGCAGAGTATAATATATTTTGTGACCGATCCAGCTCTTGTCGTGGGTATCGAGATGGTTAAAGGCCGAGAGGGACAGAAAATATCCAGAAGCGGCATCTTACAATCGTATTGAACTGTTTTTTGTAATAGGCATGCCGATAGTAGAGATTAAGGAATTTTCTACTTTTATGCATAGGGTAATTCTTCAAAAAGAAAGAACCTTGAAGATTCAGCTCAATATTTAGTTTTTCCTATATACTTATTAAGTTAATTGGCTTCACAAGGCCATTAACAAAAATAACAATCACAAAAAAAGTTAAAATTGACTTGCCATATTTACCTTCTTTTACAATAAAAAAAGAATACGAAAATTTAAAAATACTTACGCAAATGGTAGATCGAATAGGACCTCTCTATCTTCCCACACAGCTCCGGTTTTATTTTTAGTCATTTTTCTTCAAAACGAAACAAAAAACGACATGCAGTAATCTTGCCAGCACGTTTTTGTTTTTATTTCGGTTGCCATGGCAACGTTACTAGCTAACTAATATGGTTTATGGAGGTTAGCCAAAGATAAGCCTTTAAATTTTATGAAGCCTAAATAAAACTAATTTATTCTCTTGAAATTTTTATGAAGGAATGCAACGAAAAAATATTTTTTTGTGTAGATTTTATTATGTAAATAAGTTTTGTTATGAAAAAGGTTAACATAGATACGAGGTGAAAAAATATTAATGGACAATTTTTGTGAAAAGTGGTATGGGAATAACAGAATTTACAAGGGTCGGCCTGACTGATACCACGGCCTCAGAGAAAGCCGGCGTGAAACAACCACAGCGTTGTGTTTCGCCGTGTGAGTGAGGTTACCGGAAGCCCAATATTTTCCTTTCCCCATGCCTCTCTAATCCCATAATCTCCAAAATCTTATCCCCAGAAGGGCGACAACGCGGTCGTACCTCCTACTGTTGCTGGTAACTCACACGCATGAGAAATTGCTGTTTTGCCGACATATCACTTAAAAAAAATTACATCAAATATTCCAGAATTCACTTTAAAAGAAAAACGTTGCCCCACCCTAGGTTTTTCTCCTATGTCGTAGGTGCGGTTACAAACATACAATTTCACGTGCACATGACACCCAGACCCGGAACAATAATTTGTGGAACACACAAAGAGGTTGTTCGTTCTGTGCGGGCATCGAACCCGCGACACGTTGCACGGCAGCCAGTTGACCGTGCAGTCAAAATCGAATCGATTTCTAGTATACCTAATCAAATTTTCATGCAAGGCTATTTAAAAGAAATCGAATTCTAATAAATATATAGTCACGACCTAATCTAACGGATTTAGAGTTGTCCAAATACTCAGGTAGCCAGACGCATAAAATATTGATATACCAAGTAACATTAATATTTGTTAGCAGGCCAGACGTTGTTTCATATTTATATGTGTCTTAAAACATAAGAGGTCAGAGCTGGACTGCAGATGTAAGGCCCCTAGGGTAATAAAAGAAGTGGACCCATCCCTTTACTTTTGGTAACACTTTTTGAAATATGTATTGTAGAGACAAAGACGAAACGATTGGTACACAAATCCTTTTGAGTAATTCGTCCTCGATACACATTTATTCGTCATTAGTAGAAGTGTGGGACAGCCAAGCGTCAGCACGAATGAGTCGGCTCGATGGCAGTGATACCACGGCCTCACATAAAACCGGCGTGAAGCAACACATCCGTTGTGTTTCGCCGTGAAAGCGAGGCTGTTGGAGGCCCAATCCTTCCTTGCCCAATCCCAAAATCTAGGTCTAAATTAGATTTAGGGATTGGGGATGGTTTTCTTTGAGGCCGTTTCCAACCTATTCGTGTCGAAGCTTGGCTCTCCCACACTAGCCAGACGTCTTCCTGACTGAATAAAAATAATATTAATGATTTCTTTCAAGTGTCGTGGTGGTCCAGAGGTTAAGGAGTCCGCTGCTCACGCATGAGGGTGCGGGTTCGAAACCTGGCAAGTACCAATGTGAGACTGTGAGACTTTTTCCGAGTTATATGTACTTTCTATGATTATTTAGACACCACTGACATACGGTGAAGGTAAACATCGTGAGGAAACCTGGACTTATAATTTCTAATTATAAGTTTGAAATCGCCAACCCGCATTAAGCAAGCGTGGTGGTTAATGCTCTAATCTTCTCCGTATGAGAAGAGGCCTTTGCTCAGCAGTGGGCACTTATAGGCTGATGATGATGATGATGAAATGAGTTCTCCCTCCCAAAGTGGGGCGAGAGGGAGTGTCAGACTCTTAATGACTAAAAACCATCCTGTTCCTTCTATTTCTACTTGTATCCGCAACTCCAGCTGGACATCCGCCTTATTGGCTCCCAAGTCCTAACTGTGTTAGTCTGATGGGTCTTAATTGCGCGCGCGCAACGTGATACGCCCTGTTCGCTCGGGTTATTAAGCTGACACATGCACGTGTGTGAATGTCAAAGCATAATATTTCCGTGGTTGCTTAGCAACCGCTTCTTCAAGCATTGTCTTTGTCAATCGCCACGATCGATTTCAAGTTAAGTGAATGAAACCAAATATTGGTTACAATTTTTAAGGCTCCAAGAATATTTAATGTTTTTTCTTGCGAGAAATTGTTTTTTTTTTTCGTTTTTCTTACCTACATGGTGAGCCGGTGTTGCTAGTCAAGCGGAAAAAAGTATCGCGTCCTTGGCCTAGAGCAGGAAAAGGAATGGTTTTTAGTCAGTAAGAGTCTGACACTGACGATCCCTCTTATCCCAGCCTGGGTAAGATAAGTGATTTGTCTATTCCCTCCCCTTATAAAAAACATGTACACCTCATAAAACAGCATATCTATAATATTTATAATATGACAACAGTCATTTTGTTCAGTTCAATTTTATTAATCCACATTCTATTTTCCAATGATTTGGTTTTATTTCCACAGTGTTTTTAACAACGACGGTCTACACGTAACCCTGTAATTTAATAGTACCTAAATATTCTTTTTTTATAATTACCTGTCCTTGAAAGAACTCTGATTGTGATTCTTAAAACACCATATCCATTTATATAAATTATCGTCAACTAAAAACACTGACATTTAATTGTCATCATTACACCATATAGGTACCTACAAACAGACCAACACTATATAATTATAAAGAATCAATTCTAATCAAAGTTATATTCTGTTTTCTATTGTTAATGGGAACGAAATATTAGGGAAATGAGTTTTACTATACATAGGGTGTTACACAAGATGTAGGTAGTTATTTTAAAAAGTTGTTTGTTAGCCACAAGGAACAACTCTTTGTGTGATCCACAAATTGTTGTTCCGGGTGTAATCTGTAGGTATGTGATATTGTAAGTATCTTTGTAAACGCACCCACGATACAAGAGCAAATCCTAGAGTGTGGTAAAAAATCTTGAGAGGTGGCCAAGGACACCTTTCGATCACTTAGTGAAGCAAATGTAATACATTTTTTTTATTTTTATTTTTATTAGTTAACAAATATTGTTGAGTCGTGGTAGCCTGGGTATTGAGGCACCCGCATCTCATGCTTGCGGTGTAATGTGGCCATTTTGCGAGTTTCTATGATTATTTAGACACCACTGACATACGGTGCAGGAAAACATATGTTTGATATCTACCTATATAATCCGCTTTGAGCAAGCCTTTTTTTTGTCAGGGGAAAATCATCCAAGGACTTCTCCCGCCCAGGGTAAGGCGAGAGAGAGTGTTAGACTCTTACTGACTAAAAGCCCCTCCGTTCCTTCTCCTGCTCTGCGGTGCCTCATTGCGCTTACCCCGCAACCCCGGCTGAACATCAGCCCTATTGGGCCCCATCTGTAGTGGTCTAATGGCTCTTTTAGGCGCGCACGAAACGCTACGCGCCGTACGCTCGGGTCTAGTTCTGGTCGGGCGGCGAGCTACCCTTACTCGCCAATCGCAGACCCGCGCTTACGGTGGCCGGAGATCATCTCTCGATCCTCGACGCCCGGAATGTCGTCTCCAGCGGCGGCTGGGGCGCGAGGAGGATAGTTCCCTCACGCGCTCCGCCTCCTCCTTTGCGAGCATAACTGCTTTGCAGAAGGAGGAGATAGCTTCCCAGTTCCTCTCGCTATGAATCATAGCCTCGATTAAGGCCGGGCGCGAGAGGTCGCCGCCGCCGATCACTTCTCTGAGAACACGGCGGTGTTCAGCCCAAGCAGGGCACTCCGCCACCGGCTTTGAGAATGCCTGGTGATTATTGTTCTAACCAAAATGAGAAGAGGTCTTTGCTCAGCAGCAGTAACCACTTGTAGGTTGATGATGATAATTAACAAATCAATGTATCGTAATAAAAAAAAGTCCTGTACCTATATGTACACTCAACAAGCATAATCGTTGCCACCACAGGGTTAAAAGTGCGCTGCTGGCGTTTTGGGGTTTTGAGGATTCGGGATGGGAGGGACTGGCCACCGGTAATCTCAATCGTAGAGTGAAACAAAACGCTGTCTTTGTTTCACACCGGTTTTTCGGTGAGGCCGTGGTATAACTCCGGTCGAGCCGACCAATTCGTGTCGAAGCTTGGCTCTCCTACACTTATAGAAAAAAATACCTCCTGTATTAGTTCAGCACTTGGTTCGACAGGTCATTAAATAAATGAGAGCCATGGAACGGCTTGCGTGGTGTTCTGATACTGAGCGAGATAAGATCATTGATTGGTATCCTGGTTTATAGTGGATAATCATTGTAATTGGTTATTCTAATTGGCTTAAGTGTTATTTGACGATTTCACATAATTCTGCCATTAAACTAGGGATGGTAAATAATTTTTCTTTTAATGCCTCGTAAATATGAGGTGCGTATTTTTATTCTCATGGTATCAAAAATGTTTACGGTAATGTATTGTTTTGAAATAACGTGTGACGTCACGACTTAGTAAATAATTTGTATACTAAGCGGTGACATATTTAGCTAGGAATCTTAATCAGCGTGGTGACATAGTTGGCTCGAACTAAAATTCATTTTATCTTCAAATTGATATCTTATGATATACGAAAATCATGAAATGACCCTGTTGTGAGAGGGAGTGTTAAACTCTTTCTTACTAAAAACCTCCCCGTTTCTTCTCCAGCTCCACGTCAGAACCGCTGTTCAGATTGCGCTTGCACCTGCAGAACCTGTTGGACATCTTTTTATTACCTAACAGTCCAACTAGTTAGAAATGCATATCATAGTATATCATATAATAGTAAATTTTCCGAGGTGTTTGGTAACTGGACTTATCCCAGTTGTTAGCCGGTTTCGGTGTTTCTTAATGGTTCTACTGTAGATCTTGGATCTTACAGGAGTGCCTAGCAGCGGGTTTGAAGGCTTCTCACATAATAAAACATAATCTCTATTGAATGTATTGTTGTTCCAATTCCTTGAAGTCGATTCGATGGACACTACGACAAA